ATAGGGATTACATTACATTTCTCAAACTTGGGATTACAAGTTTGAGTCACAAAGTCACACAACCATTTAACTTTAGTAAGCATGGTTAGTAATAAAAAGGGAACAAGGTATTACTGGGTGTGGTGGTCCATGTCCATAGTCTTAGCACTGGTGAGGCAGAGGCAGGAGGATCTCAGTGAATTGTAGGCTAGCCTGGTCTACATAGTAAATTCTAGGATAGCCAGATGTTCACAGTGTGAGACCCTGTCCCAAAACAAAAGACAAAACAAACAAAAAGAAACAAGATGTTAGAGTCTCAGATTTTGATAACACCTTTATCTGCTACTTGGGCAGTCATTTAACCTTTCAGGTCATTTTTTTTTCATTTCGTTTCTCAAAAGACAGGGTTTCTCTGTGGTTTTGGAGGTTGTCCTGGAACTTGCTCTTGTAAACCAGGCTGGTCTCAAATTCACAGAGATCCACCTGCCTCTGCCTCCCTAGTGCTGGGACTAAAGGCGTGTGCCACGGCCACCATGCCCTTTCAGGTAGTTTTGTTGTTCATTTTTTTTTCATTTGGTGATTGAAGGAAAAAGATAATATATTTACTTAAAGCATATAGTGCAAGCTAGGCAGTGGTGGTGCATGCCTTTAATCTCACTACTTGGGAGGCAGAGGCAGGTGAATTGCTTGTGAGTTTGAGGACAGCCTGGCTGGTTTACAGACCAAGTTCCAGGATAGCTAAGGCTATACAAAGAGATCCTGTTTCAAAAAACCAAAACCAAAAGGATATAGTGCAATTAGACATGGTGGTTCATGCTTGTAATCCTAGCATCTGGGAGCCTGAGGCAGGAAGAACAGAATTTAAGGACATCCTTAGCTACATAGTAAGTTTGAGGTCAGCAGGAGCTACATGAAACTGTCTCAAAAACAAGTAAAAAGTATGTAACACAGTGCAATTGCTGGAAACTGTGTCTCCTATACTTTTTGTCAAATGTACAATGCAAAGTAAATCTCTACCCTCCCCCTCCTGTGTTTTAGGTTTCACTATGTAACCCATGGTTGGCCTCTGTACTTGAAATGTTGACCAGGCTTGCCTCTTCCAAGTGCTGGGATTTTAGATGTGCGGCACCATACCTCATTTCCCACCTTCACTCTTTGATTAACACTTCCATTCTTACTTTCATTCTTTTTCAGTTTGCTTCCTTGAAGGGTCCTGTCCCCCCCCCCCCCCCCGAAGAGGAAGATCTCCACCGCTAGGTCTGCTGCTCTTTACCTATCACAGATAAGCAGGGTGCAAAATATTTAAAGAAAACATGTTTTTAGGGACTTGCTACTACTACTGTAATAGTGAAGTGACTGGAATGACCACTCTTTAACAAATTAAAAAGGAAATCTAAAACTCTGCCCTACTAGGGATCACAGCATGAGAGCATTTATTGAAAACTTTGTCAGCTGAGACTCCAAATTACAGCAGAGCCAGGAACCTCCAGGAACCTCTATGGGTTCCCCCCCCTTTACTTTCATCAACATTGAGTTCTTGTAAAAGGACTTTAAACTTTGCCTGAGGTGAAAGATGGTGGTGGTGGTAGAGACTTAATGAAAAGGTGGTTTCCAGTTCCTGAAGAGGAAATACAGTACTGTAAATATCAGTTCCTCACATGTCAGCTTCCTCCCTCTCTCTGTCTTAAGAGGTCCAGCCATAACCACCAACCCCCCCCCCCCCCCCCCCTCCCCCCCCCCCGCAACTGAACCACCTATGATGTCATAATCACAATCCCATTACCTCATCCTGCTGGGGGGGGGCGGTGAGGCAGATAGGGAAGGGAGGGAGTGAACAGCCTCGAGCCCGCCTCAGCTTTACAAAGTATTTTGGGTGAGGACAAATTACAGAATAAGAGGACACAGCTCCACAACCGTTATACATCCCAGGATTATAAAGGTTCCAGTAGATCTCGCAGGTAGAAGAGTGGCTCTGGGGACTCAGAGCAGGCCCTGATCGGCGTTTGGACTACATTTCCCAGCAGCCTTCACACTGAGGATCGATCCTTTGACGGGGGAAGTGGGGGGGATGTTCACAAAAAGGTGGCTGTTTCGGAAAGGACAGGAGACCAGGTGAGAAGGCTGTGTCTAATACTGTTTCGGGGTCTGAGTTAATTGAGACAGTTCAGTTGGGAAGATGGAGCAATGGAAGGAGTAGACAATGGCTTTGTTTACCTTTATCCGACACGGCTTCCCCTACGGGCTTGAGGATATGTTTCCAACTGGGCCCATCCACTTGCTGCGATATTTTGGAGGGGGTGATAGGTTAGTGAGGAAACAATCCCGTCCCCAAATCACAGGTCTAGGCTCCTTTCCGACGGCACTATTCCGGAAAGGATTGAGGGAGAAACCACTTAGGGCTCGGGCCTCTTCGGGCGGTTCCGGGGGCTTCTGCGAACAGG